GCCCTTCCTGCCCAGTGTCAAAGATAATAGTCCTGGGAAAATGTGGTGATATAAACATTGCTTGTCTTATCATGATGTAAAATAAAATAACGTAAAAGGTTACTTCTTAAATGAGCTCCTTTCAGCTGTCATAACTTCATTAGAAATATACAAAAGTATAACAGCATATAATTAAAAAGACTTCCTGGAAGCATACCTAAGTAAAGTCAACTACATCACACTTCCACGTCCTAGTAAAACCTGGCACTCACTCCCAAAATAAACAACAATGAACATTGGCAGCTCAGCTTCTGAATGGTTCTGTTTCCATTGGGTACCACCACCTACTATGGATTGGGACGAACGTAAGTAGAGATCAGAGCAGGGAGTCTGTTCCTCAGTCTGCTGAGGATGATGGAGGTAGGAAGAGGATTCAAGCAAGAACTGAGTTACCATCTTTGCCCTACTCATCTAGCCCTGTGGGAGGCTCCTGCTAGGATCTCAGGTGTACAGTCTGGGTTCTTCCTCTTACCCATGTAAAAAGACAAAAGAATGTCATAGGCTGGGTGTACATGGCCATGTACTGATTCTACGAACTTTCATCTCACATGGTTTTTTAGTAATGAGGAATATGACCCTTGCCCCAAAGCATGAATGTCACTTGGTAGAAGTAAATGTATGTCAGTACACAGGAAAATGCCAGAACAGGAACAGGAAAACCCCTGAATGCTTAGACCAAGATGACCTATCACTCAGTCTTAGAATCTCTACCTTTCTATTGAAACAGAATCCATTTTATAAAATGCTATCTAATTTTGGGGACAACATTGTAGCAGTAGTTTAGTGTCACTGTGAGTATGACCTATACTCAGTTACACTACACTATGATTTAAAATAAATCCATTTAACATCATTGCTTTAGTAAGAGTCTAGTCTTTGGCTAGGGAGAGCTAATATGCTGCTTAAATACAGGCCTGCAAGTCTCTCCTCTCAGAAACATCTACTTAATTCACAATAGATGCCCAAAATAGTGAAGGGAAATTCTATGAAAACAGTGAAGTTCTTCCCTAATGTGTTCAGTCAATTTTAATCACCAGTTATCTTGCATATTTTTCAACTGTTCCTTTCCAAAGACTAAGAATTTCTTATACTTTACATATTTTAGCATTGTTGCCTGTCACACACATAGGCAAATTGTTGTTTAAAAGCTGCCACATTTAAATTGAAATAAAACTTATGACTGCAACGGTAAATATTCCTAGATTAATAGAGTTGCAGCAGACGACAGACTCTTAAAATTGACTGAAGTCTGTGATATTAGAAAGACAGAAAATTTATCTAGTTTTAGCAAATGTCAAATCAGTGGCTATTGCTTTAAAGATTAATAAAAGATATAATGGTTTCTAGATAGCCTCTAAATAGAGATTACTATGAATGGAGAAGTGATTTACCAACAGTCACCACAATGAGATTTCTTTAAAGGTTACAATCATCAGTTATTTAGCTGAAACACTGCTGAGAATGCCTGGTCATTTCTTGAATAATGCATAATGTTCATTGTAGATTTGATCTGTATTATAACAATACAGATATTTCTAAAATAATGGAAAATACTATCAGTTACCTTCCAATTGCTTAACATATCATTTCCATGAAGTAATTGACTTGGGACATATTACATACTGTCACCTGAGTGTTCTTTCTGCAAGCATAACTTGTAATAATCTGTATACAATGGGAATCACAAAACAAACTCATCAACCTTTATAGACTGTTAAGAAAAGATGTGATGAATACTGCACAGGGCACAGTAAAGGACCTTTCTGAAGCCATAAATTAAAGTGATTAAATTTCTATACAGTTGTGTGGGACAAATTTAAATTTAAGCTTTGAAATTTAATTATTAACATGATCAACTCATCACATTAAAAAAAATGCTGCCACCACAATGTAAGTACTTTTCATACAAATTTCCAAATGCCTTTAGGTTTATTCAAGAGATTGCTTGGAGAAGCATGAAGTATAATGTCTATCGTTTTATTGTTGGATTATGAACTGCACTTCACATGATGCTGCAGGCTATTTATATAAGCTTGTTTATCCATATGAACGTCTTCAAGGGCACAACATAGAAGACCTTAATAAATTAAAATGAATTTCTTTTGATGTTATTGTTTCATGAATGTTTGATCAGAATGAATAGCAGTTTTGCATTAAAGAATTAGAGTAAAGCAATAAAATGTCCATATATTTTACAGTAGAACCAATTTATAGAAAGTGCTCCTTATATTTCTAGCTACTTTTGAGAGCCAGGGTAGACAGTAGGGAGTCACTATGTTTACATCTTCATTTCTAACCTATCACCAGTTTACTAATAGTGAAAGTGTACATGTACCAACTTAGATGCTCTGTCATCATCTGGATGGAATTTTAAATATAATAAAATCCGTTATCTCCTTCCAGGTTTCTAACCACACATCTCCACCACCCTGTTTTCTCTCAGTGACACTACCATGCCATTCCAGAAACTGCAACAATGTGGGGGCAACAACCACGTTTTATCTTCTTTTTATACATCTTAATCATAATAAGAAGTTAAAGAGTTGAATTGAAGGCCACAAAATAAAAATGAAGTATTATAACAGTCTGAAGCTGAGAAAATTCTCACCTAAAACGTTTGATGATGGTGATATAAAACAAATATTATCTGTAGGGATGACAAGAAGTGATAGAACACTAGATAGAAAGGCAAGAAAAGTAGATTCTTGCCTTAGATATGCTAACACTGAACTGCAAAGTCATTTCCACTTTACACTTGCCTCATCTAACTATCCCTCATAAAAGGAGGGAATAATTACATGTCATCTATACATTTGCATGCCTAAAAGGCCATGATTCTGGAAGTAAGCTAGACTATTACATCATAGACAAATGGACAAACAACAGAACCATCACATTTTTCTACTTTGGTAGCCATTACTGCCAAGAAAGCCTATTGACTACAAACACCTTTAACAATGAAAATAAATAAAAATTTGCTGAGTTATGTTAAATAAATACAGGTCCATTCCATTATCTCATTTGAATAATATACTTTTGAACTTATATAATTGAATAATTATTACATATTTTTCACATGGTATGGTTCCTAACCTGTTACCCTCATCCTTTCATCTTGTATGATTTGCAATAAAGATAGCCTGTGCCTCAAACTAGAGTGAAAAAAAATGTGTCTAATGTATATTTACTAAAATTATATTTATATATTTAGCTTGGAAAAATTTGGTACTAGTATCTATAATATGGTTTAGCTCTAAGTCCCCACCCAAATCTTGTCTCTAATTGTATTAATAATCCCACGTGTCAGGAGAGGGACCTTCTGGGAGGTGATTGGATCATAGGGGCCGTTTCCCTATGCTATCTCGTGATAGTGAGTTCTCACGAGATCTGATGATTTAAAAGTGGCACTTCGCCCTTTGCTGTCTCTTTCTCTCTCTCACTTGCTGCCATGGTTCCCTTGCTTCCCCCTTGCCTCCGCCATAATTGTAAGTTTCCTGAGGCCTCCCCAGCTATGTGGAACTGTGAGTCAATTGTACCTTTTTGTTTATATATTATCCAGTCTCGGATACTTTTTTATAGCAATGTGAAAACAGACTAATACAATCTAGAACATGAATTAGTGTGTTACTGAATTGGTATCTACAAGCTCAAGGGCAGAAAGGGATGTAAAAGGACAGATCGAATGTGCCTTGCTTTATTTTTCCTGGGCTACCTTTGACTGACATCCTGTCCTTGAGAGGTACCTCTGTTGTGTGTTCTCCTCAATCTTTAAGTGTCATTCTTACACTCTAGAAAGTGGTCTGCAAACCATAGCCTATGGGACTAATTTTGTGGCTGCTGCCTATTTTGTAAATATAGTTTTATTGGAACATAGCCACATTGTTTTTTTTACGTAGTGTCTATGGCTAATTTTGTGCTACAACAGCAGAATTGAGTAGCCCATTGAGCTTAAAATATTTACTACATGGCCCTTTACAGAAAATGTTTGCCAACTGTTGCTCTAGAAGAAAATAACCTGTTACAATTAAAATTATCATTTTCCACCTCTAATATGCATAACACAATCCCCAAGTAACAACTTTACACTCTCACGGACACATATGTGATCACAGCTCTTACCACAAAATTGTAAATAACAACTGCTTTTGACCTTTCATTTCAATCTGAATCCTACAAAAGATTACAGCTCCCCACTAGTACCCTTTCCTGTTATAGCCAAGAGTACAGGGACTTTTCCAAAGGTAGTTGGCAAGATGTAACAAAAGAAGCTAATTCTTCCCCAGAGGAAGTTGCCTGCAACTCCTCCAAATGCCCAGTTTTATTTAATTCTATCAAGTGTCTAGAAACAGAATGCGAACATAAGAATCTAGCAGATTCTTTAGGCCATACACCTTGAATAGAATATCCTTAAAGATAGAAAACCAATGGCCAACACCACATATACATCAATAAATGTATGCATGCATATTTAAATGCCATAAATTATTAGGAATTTCAGGAACACACAAGAAAATACTGTCTTACGCATCAGAGTGAAAATGACCTAATATTTAAAGATACTAAGTTGTAAGAGTAACTGCATCAAGGATTAGAATAAAAAATATGTTTATAACTTTTAGGTAATATGTATATAGGGAAACTTGAAACACTAATACATAGATTGATTTTTGTTGGTCAATAAAATCTTTAACGTAAAATGTCTGCTAAGGATGGAAGAGCTCTGCTCCCTGCCTTTCTTTCGTTACTTAAGGCAGAAAATGTCAGCTCTATGCTTTAACAAATATGTCCGTACTCCACTCATGAAGAAGAATTTGTATGTAATTGTAAAACATAAATTAAACCCAAGAAGCATTTTAACGTGTCATTTCATTTTCGTTTCTCTGAAATCTTATATAAAGTGATAGAATTTTAGGCTGATAGACTATTGAAAATAAAATAGAAAAATAAGAGGTTTATTTCACCTTCACATGGTGTCTTTCTCATGCAGAGTTCAGATTTCCACATTTGTATCCCTTTAAAGGATTTGATATGCAGGAAAAGAAGAAAGGATGATGGTAAACATTTCATCTTACAGACCCCTACAGACCATCATATTCAGACTGAACAGTGGCCTAAAACTTACCTTTTACTGATGTGTTAGGTGGAGGGCCTTCCATTCGCAAGTTCCACGGAGGGTCCCCCTGGTTAGCAAAGTCCCTCATTTTCAGATAGCTAATTGTAAGTCGAATGATGGATGCCTTGTCAAGCTGGCTGGTAATGGCTGCAGGAAGAGGCAACAACTTGGCCAATTCATAGAACTCAAAGTTTTCTTTTCCCCGGCGGGAGCGAGCAGCATCTCGGGATTTCTCCTTTCTCAATGCTTGTAAACTGAAATCAAAGGAGTGAGAACGTGTGGTTTAGAATATGTGACTTTGTCATCACTCAAATACTGCCTTCTTTGTATTTCCTTTTTTCCCACCAAAATTCTACCAAAAACTATTTCAAAATTAGAGAGTGACAGTAAAATGAGTTCCAGAAAATGTCCACGAAAGCCATAAACTCTAACTCCGGTCTTACATTTTGCAAACTCAAGTCCAATGAGTAAAAATTGTGTTTTGCCTGTTAAGGTTTTTTTCCTCCAATTGTCCATGCATTGAGATGTATTTATTGTTCCTAAGACCTAACAGAAGGTTTACAGGTGTGGCTTGATATTATCAACTATAAGCAATTTATAAATTGGGCTTACATTTGTGTATCTATTTCAAACTAATACTTTTGTTCACTTAACTTTCATCAGTATGGGATCTTAATCAAAAGGAACTATTTTGAAAAATTCATTTCAATTATAATCCTGGGGAGCAGAAGATAAACACAAGTACAATTCACCTTGTCAGAATCAACAAATATGCTTCCAGCCCTCAATAAAGATCACAGCACATTCAGTTAGATGAAGAAAACATCATATTTAAAATGAAGATTTCAATGTAATTTCATAAATGTGCTGATAACTGCTTGATAAGAGAATACTTCTTTATTAATGGACATACATTAGTAGATAGATTTTCTAAGATACTAGAGAATAAAATATATTGCCCAAAGAAGTCAAACTTTAGGATAATATAAATTTAATGTTGAAAGATAAAGCTCTGTATGGGTTATTAAAATTCATAAACATTATAGACATATTACTTCCCAGAAGAGGCAACAGGTGGGATCCAGCATTTTTCTTCAACTATTCATGTGCATTTCTGTTTGAAGTTTGCTCACATTGCTGAGGGCAGAATCTGGCACAACTGAAGTTGTGTGTGAGCATCTGACAGGAGAATTCCACCTGCTCTGAATTGCTCTGCTTTGTGTCTGATGAGAAATACATTAAAAAATCAGACCCCAATGATAAGTAGCTAGATAATATTTTCAGTATCAAGGTACCATTAAAATTATTTTTATGTATGCATTTTATTGAATTCTGAAAGCACTGTAAATATTTGAGTCTAGCATTCTTTTTTTTTTTTCCATTATGAAATAATAAGAAAGAGAGAAACAAGGAAGGAAGGAAGACCATAGAAAGAGATCAAAATTGACTCAGCAGTGAGGCTCCATTCTCTTTTAATATACTATGGAGAATAATATTCCCTATTACATTATAGGATTCCTGACATTGTTTCCTGGTGGAAACACTGTATTTTACTGCTGAAATCACACCTGAAATATCTTACTGAATATCTATGTATAATGCTCTGGTCAGATACTTGCTAGGCTAATACCCAACCAGTTTTATGTTTGCTCTATTAATAAAATAGTCTACATTAGCTAACAAATGTCTTTCTCAGAATTAGACAAGTTAATGTTATCATCTTCAGAGTAACAGCAGTCTCAGGTGACAAAATCTGTGTCCCCTGATACATCTCAAGCGAAAAAGTCAGGCAGAAACATTACTAATTTACAAGGAAAAGACCTGTTTTATCACTTATTTCCCAATAACTGGGCCAACCTCCATTCAATTCTACAAGTGCTCAATTTCAGCTGGTTGAAAGCTACATAAGTGAGAGATGTCTTAGAATCTGATGAAGTGTAAGTACAACTAGGATCCAGGTTAACACCTTAGGATACAAGAATAGTTCACATTCCTCCCTTTACAGAATAAAAGTAATTTATCTACCAACATTTAAGTTAGCTGTGCCAAAAGAAACTATGTCTCTGGACATATTTTCCCTAACACTTGTACATAGGGGAAGGAGCAGTGGTTCAAGTTCAGTGCTTTATTCCTTTTGTGTTCTTGCAATTAAATACTACTCCAGAAGGTGGGCTAAACTTACAACTTTTCTTTTGGTTCAGTAAGTGACTATGATGGGGCTCTAGAGCAGGGGTTACGAACTCAAGGGCTTTCAGGGTTCAGGCAGGGAATGTCAGTGAGTGAAGAGGACTGGTGGGGACTGGGAGGAACTGAAGGACAACTCTGGCCAAGGGGTAGCACAGTTTGAGCCAATGCCGCTTTGGGGAAAGTCACACCTGGTGTCAGCACTTCTAGAGGACAACATCTGAACTTTTATATGACATTTCCCAATTTTGGTATTTTAACAAATTAAAGCTTTAAAAAGTCACGCAAGCCAAATAAAACATGTCATGGTCAGACATGGATCAGGGACTAATTTTACAATTGGGTAATAGTTAGGACAGACAATTACAAAAGTAGCTTCACATGATGTTATATGTAATTTTCCTTTATTCATGTCACTCAGAATGATCACAAATGTATTTATTTGTTACCTACGTAATATACCATAATATTTACATCTGGAATTTATTCAACTGAAGGAAAGTAGAGGATTAAGCAATTACTCTGAAATTGAAATTAATTTACAGGCTTATCAATAATCTAAGGAAAAAATTCATCTTCATATGGGAGACAAAGCCCAAGATCACAGGTATCAACTCAGTAGGCTATAAAGGATATATATTAGGGAGATGGCTTTTCTCTATCCATTCAGGGAAGGGGAGCAAGCAGACACTAATGCCTTTGGATGCCTTGCCTAACATGTTTTCTGATGTTTTACTACTTTTCTAAAACAGCACTGGTCAGAATTTACTTTATCTCTTCCTCTCCTACCTCCTTGTTTTCTCTTCTCCACCTTGTCTTTTTCTTTTTTTTCTTTTTTTCTTTTTTTTTAACTCTAAGGCACACAGTGTCCCCCTATTAAAGTAATCTTCTTGGCAGTAATCTTAATAACAAAGGATTTCCACGATTCCCACATCGCATCATTATGCAGGGACCATAGTTTAGAAGACTTTCAGAATGATATCACTGTGTCTGTAATAAGTAGTAATTGGTTCTGTGGGCAACAGCAATAAAGTACAGCCAAAGGATTATAAAGGTTGTTGAGATGCTGGTGTAACAGATGAAGACAAAGACCTTAAGACAATGACACTCTAGCTTGTGCATTAATCTTTCACTTGTTTTTGTAAAGTAGGGCCTAGTTATAAGCAATCCCCAAACTGGATTAAGAACTATATTAAAACCCAAAATAAACTTTGTATGTGCACGTTTTGTTCTAAACGAAAGTATTGTGGTTGTTATGTCTAGAGTACTAAAGATAGATTAGTTGTACATGAGTAAAATGTTATAGTGCCGATCTCTGCCATCTAAAATCTGATTAAACTTCAGACCCAAATAGTTACTCCCTGGGCCTAAACTTCCCATTGCTCTAATGTTCTTGCACTTAGATTATGAATAGCAGAAAACAGATTCTTCATGAATCCTCAGCAAATGAAAATTTCAACTCCTTTTGATGACTACATTATCCTCACAAAACATTATTGCCACCAACAAAAACAATGTCAATAATTTCAAAACACACATATATGTATGTGTGTATGTGGATATTGTATGCATTATTGTGTGTGCATATAAATAGGTAGATAGATAGGAGAAATAGTAAATGATTTTCAGATTCTCAAAAGGCTAATCATCTAATGTCTATTATTCTACGTTTTTTTTGAGAAGGAGTCCCACTCTATCACCCAGGTTGGAGTGCAGTGGTGCAATCTTGGCTCACTGCAACCTCCACCTCCCAGGTTCAAGTGATTCTCCTGCCTCAGCCTCCCAAGTAGCTGGGACTACAGGCATGCACCACCGTGTTCACCTAATTTTTCATGTTGGCCAGGCTGGTCTCGAACTCCTGACCTCAAGTGATCCATCCGTCCACCTGGGCCTCCCAAATTGCTAGGATTACAGATGTGAGCCAACATGCCCAGCCTAATGTCTATAATTTCTTCTTATAAGAGAACAGATTGTGAAGCTAGCCAGCCTGGGTATAAATCCTGGTTTTGTTATTTACTAATTATATACATTTGAGGTGATTTTATTGCCTCACTTTTTCTCATCTGTGAAATGGGATAATACTCTATAAGGTTGTTGTTAGAATTAAGTTAAATGAGCCTTTTTTTAATAAGATCTTTACAGTGGTGCCTGACACATAGTAATGCTGTATAAGACATGTTAAATGGAAACCTAAGCTCACTTCACATTGATTGTTCTTTCCTTCTAAGGCCTGCAATGCCCATTAATAGTGTGCACTCTCTTCTCACTAATTTCTATTCCTTGGTTCTGACATAATGCATTTTTCATTTTATTATAGTCCTCATTTTGTCTATGGTCTACTCATTGTATACCATAAGTGTACTTAATGAGTTGTTCAAGTAATATATTTAATTAGGAGATGCTTAAAGATTTATAAATTTTTTTGTGCAGGGTCATAAGGAGCCATTTTTTTAGTATAGTAACAGATAAAAGGTTACATTCAATTGCAGGACAAGTAATTTTGTTTATATTATAAAATGAACATCTAAACAGCTGTTACAAGAACAGATTACTCAGGAAGATTGTGAAAATGCCTATGGAAGGTTTTTAAATGGCAATGATAATTATTAATCAGGAGTATATGTGTACTCCTAGACAAGATGATCTTTCAAAATAGCTGTCAAAAGATCACAAACCTAAAAGTTCTCTTGAAAATCAGGCAAAGCCCCAGATCCAGGACCATGGAGAGCTCACCCAGGACAAGTGGTGCCCGGAAGTGGGGAAGCTGGACAGCAGCTGCCTCCTCAACCTCTATTTTTGGGGGCAAGGTCAAATCATGAAATTCTTTTCAAGCTAGAAGCTAGCAAAATGTATCCCCAAAAAAGTTTTTTTTAAAAGGGTGCTAATGCTATCAAAAAGCCAATATTATGAAACTGACTCAGAATTTGCAATCTTTGTGAATCTACCACAAAGCTGGATAAGGGGTCAATTGTTTACTGGGCCACTTGTCCACAGTGGGAAAAACAGATAGCTTTGGACTTGATGACTTATTTATTTAAAAGAGGTAAGTTATCCTTTGTGGTTGATCAAA